TTGCGGAGCGGCCTCTGCGTCCTCACAGCCCAGCGTAGAGCCGCCTTGACTTCTCCTGTGCTAAGGCAAGCAAGGAGGACTCCTCGCACGGGCTCTGTTGGTGGGGCCCGGGTCTGGGCACCAGGGGGCTGGCGGGCAGTGATGGGTGCCGTGCTGTCACCAGTATTTTCAGTTTTGCCCTTACTTTCCTGATGACTTATTTTTCTCTTAAAAATTCTTTTCATTTTCTCTGCAAAATGCAACCTGAGTTTCGAGCTCCTTCTTTACCTCTTTTTTAAACCTATACCTATTGCATCACCCTTCATTTTTGTACAATGTGTGGTTTCCCCGTGAGATTCCCACCTCCAGGGCACCTGTGCCCCGTCCCCGTCGGCCCTTGTGCTCGTCCCAGCCTGGTCCTGGTCCTTCTGCCTCTTCTCCCTACACACCGTCTCTGATCTGTAGTTCCCTGATGATTTTGATTTTATTATAGTTACTTTCCCCCCAATTCCTTATTTGGTTCCTCTACATGCCTCAGCGAGTGAGACCCTTGCTGTTTTTCTTTTTTTACCTCTTTCTTTCTTTCTTTTTTAAAAAGATTTATGTATTGGGCCCTCCCTGGTGGCGCAGCGGGTTAAAGCACAGCACTGAGAATCTAAAGCCGCTTCCGCATGAGTTCAATCCCCGCCTGCCCCGGAGGAGATCCACATGGCGTGGCAGACCTCTCCTGACCCACCCGCTGCTCCCCTCAGGAGTGTACTTAGTCGATCTGCCTGTTCTGCTCCCCACTCTGTCTCTGGTGAATCCTCTCACCCTCCCCATCTCTGACCTGTACCCCAGTTCCATATGAATAAATAAATAAATCTTTAAAAAAAAATTTATGTGTTTATGCTTACAAAACTGGGGTACAGGCCAGAGGTGTGGTGGGTGAGAGGATTCACCAGAGACAGAGTGGGGAGGCTGACCGGGTGGTTTACTGAAATACACTGCTGAGGGGAGCAGCGGGTAGGTCAGGAGAGGTCTGCCCCACCATGTGGGGTCACCTCCCAGACCAGGGATCGAACTCGTGTTGTTATGGCTTCTGAGAGCTTCAGAATGTGGTGCTTTCACCTGTTGCGCCACCGGGGAGAGCCCTGCTTACCTCTTTCTTTCCCTGTCAGATTTCAGCCATAACTAATCCTCAGATGTTTTCTCCATTACTGGTGGAGTAGAAATGGGAAGTCTGAGGAGCAAGAGCTGTGCCACACTGAATGCCTGACTCGGTGGCACTTCCTGAACACTTGAGGTGAAAGGTAGCTGGCCGTGGCACTGAGACTTCTCAGAGTCTGTTCCTGGGACCTGAACCCTTTCCTACCTCTCCTGGGGCAGAGCAGTGGGGGGTGAGGGGAGCTGGCACCATGGGGGGAGGTTGCAGCTGCAGCAAGTCTGTGTGGAGAGAGGACTGTCACCCTCATGAGTGGTGGACTTTTGGAGAAAACTGTGGATCTGAAGGTAGATCAGCCTAGACCTTACTCTCAGGGTCATGTCTGGGCGCTGTGCACGAATTACTGTACCCAGTATGAGCCTATGAAATGGGAGCTTCGGTGTAGATGTTCCTTGAAACTGCTTGAAGTATACAGTTCACCCACAGACGCTGCTATTCTTTCGTGTTTTCTTATGTGCTCTGTTCTCTTTCCCATTCTCATATAGAGTAAATTGGATATGTTCAATTCTTGAAGTGGATGCCAGTTGTGTTCAGTGATGCATTACTGCTTAAAAGTGGGTCTCCTCTGCCCTGACTCTCATGCCTGCTCATTACTGCGAACTCATCATCTCTGAATAAATAAGGTGGGGACAAGCTAGTAAATGACCTTTCTACCTCATTTCCCTAGTCATAACTTCAGAAGCTGAACTCTTTTTAATTTAATGCTTGTACTAGTTTATTTCCTTGTTTTAAAGAGTTAGATGATGAAAATGATAGCAGCTAACATTTATTGCTCAGTCACTGTCTCAGGCACTGTATTAGGCGCTCCGCCATGCTCTGCTTAAATACAGTCCTCTCCACCTATGTGAAAGGCATTATCCCATTTAGCAGGTAAAACTCAGGTTTCTAAGGTCACAGAGATGGCTAATGAGAGGAGCCTGGACCAAACCTCAAGTGAAAGGATGCCAAGAGCCATGCTCGTAATTGTGAAGTGAAACTGCCTCCTACTGTCTTTCCATCTACCCCATTTTTTTAGTACAATATTTAAATAAACATATGGTACCGTAAGGTGCATGGTGCCGTGCCTTTGTGTAAGGGGCTTCTGACCTCACCTAACTTTCAGTGTTACTTTGCAGAGTTTGCATTTCCTGTTCTTTTACTATATCTTCATCTTGCAAATTCACTTTGGACCCTCAGACATATTGGATTGAACCTGTTGAACATGCTGATTTGTGAACATGTTCACTGTTGATTGGCTAATTTATGAGATCCATGGTTATTTTTGAGAAATTCTTAAACTTTAAACAAGCTAACCCTTGAAAACCTGGGGACCCAGCCTCTGCTGTCAGGAGGAATGACATCTGAGAGTGGTTTGCTGTGGGGCTGCTGAGAGGTGCATCCTCTCCCCAGAGATGGTAATCGGCCAAGGGGAAACCCAAGGGGACAGTGAGAGGCGTTCAGATAACAGGATGGTCATAGCAGGAATTAGTCTTTTATCTGCTGACTTTATCCTAGGCAGATGCCCTAGGAAACTTACTGTGTGTATCTAACTTGGCCCTGGTCAAGGGGAGGGAAGGACAAGGACTAAACTGAAGAGGCAATGGGGTCTGACCTTTACTTTGACACCAAAGACTTTGGAGCTGGGCTGGGAAAAGAAAGGAGGCCAGAGGGGCAAGGGTATAGGTGACAGACAGGGACAGCGGCACCGAGGACGCTACCATTCCCACGCCCTGCACATTGTCTCAACTTTGCCAAAAGCCTGCTTATCATGTGAGCCAAAATTCATCACAGCCTGCTTTCAACTGGTGCCAAGATTCATCACCAACTGCCTTTAACCTTCTTCTGTGACGTGAGCAGGTTTTGCTGTTTTGTGCTGTTAAAGGAGCAGGAGCTTAACGTCACACCAGGACACAGGACCTGCTCTCAAAGTGTAAGACTCAGTGGGACAGTCAGCTGCCTGGCAGGCGGACAGCCTGCTTGTCATGTCCTGTAACTGGTGTACAGGCCTGGCCTGGCAACTAACATGAGCAGGAGAGATTTCTGGAACTCAGGTGCTGATAGGAAGCCAGCGTTGGGGCCTCACAGCACAGCCTTTGTGGCTCTGTGGCGCTCTGCTTCCAGTGATATAGGAGGGTTGAGATGGAGTCATATAAAGAATAGACTCTGCCCAAGAGTCAGTATCTATGGTGCGGGCACATGTGTGTAGTTCTCTTAATTTTCTACCCCTCATGCTCACAGAGACAGATGAACACAGCACACATACACACACTATATGTATCTGTCCACTAGATGTAGATACAGTCCTCTCTCTTCCCCTCTGTGCCCTCCATCTGTCCACCTTGATGAAGAACTCCACCACAGGAAGTGTGAGCTGGGCACCAGCTCTATTGCCAGGACCTGGGAGCTTGTTAGAAATGCAGAGTCTTGGGCCCAACTTGAGACCTGCTGTGTCTGAATCTGCATTTTAACAAGGGCTCCAGATGGCGCTTGTGCGCATTCAAGCCTGGGGAGCCCTGCCCTCAAGGCCTCTTCACTAAAGCTTCTCATGCCATGGGGTGAAAAAAGGAGTGTTGCTGTGTGCTCACCATGGAAGGAAGGAAGCTTGCCCTCCCAGTAGCCACAGAGAGAGCTCGTGCTGTCAGTCATTTGCAAATGACACAATCTCAAGGAGAAAATGAAGAGGAAATCAGAATCAAGTCCATACTGCTGCGGTTCCCACAGCGGACTGTTCCAGTCCCTGCCCAGCAGGCCAGTGAGGACCCACGAGTAGTTCTGCTTTAGGACAGCAGTTTTCAGCACCGAGATTTTGCCACATACATGTGTCTGACTTTCAGCTGTCACTTCTTTGGGGAATGAGGATGGTGCTATTAGCATCTGTCTATGTAGAGGAAGCCAGGATAAATACCCCACTAGAGATCCTGCAGTGTCCAGGACAGCTCACACCACAGAGAACTTTCTGACCCTGAAGTCAGTCTTAGTGAAGTTGAGAAACTTGGCTTGAGGAGATGAACTTGAACCTATCAAGACCTCGTTTTAATGAAATATTTCAAGTGTGGGAAATCCTTAGAATGAACAGATGTTAACTCCGTTTTTTAAAAGGGAAATAAGCATTACGTCTATTGCATAAATATGTACACATTGCGTATTTAAGGACAGTTTCAAAGCCCCCTTCAGAGCCCCATTCTCTCCCACCCCAGAGACACCCACCTTTGCGTGCAAGGGGCAGTTTGCTCCTGGTGTGCTTTGCTCTTTGGGCACACATGTAAGTGCACGTAGGTGCCATGAGACCGCATATGAGGGCCCTGAGTCCTGGGGAAGTGTGGTCTGTACATGCACGCTGCAGCCTGCTTTTCCAGAAGTCTAAGCAGGGACATGAACAGAGGACAGTATGTGTCTAAATGAAAAAAAATCTGTCGTTTGCCAAGAAATTTACATTTCTTTTAACTGGCTGTCAAAAAATTTAAGAAGAGATGTTTAGTATTTTATATCAGATCGAGGAAAGGAAAGCACAGGGAATGGTTGCAGATCTTAAAATGTGACATTTTTTCAAAGCGCATCGAATGCAACAACTAAATCTGACCTTCTGTTTGTCAGAGAGGAAGGTGGTGACAGGGCCCCTCCTGCCCGCCTGCACCTCCTTCCTCTCTGCGTGGCACCCCTTAGCCCCACATCGCCTCCATCTCCGCATCATTTTCCAGAGCCAGCCAGTTTCTATGGCAACGGTTAGACTGAAAGCCGAGCGAGAGCGGGAGGCGCGGCTCCCGGAGCCCTCCGGTGGTGGTGTGTGTCCCTGACGTCACCCTCCTCGCTTCTGGATAGGAGGATTCTGGCTACTCCCATTCGGGGCTGCTGTCCGGAGCTGCTTTATGAGCGGGGCTGCCAAGGTCCCCGATAGCTCCGCCAGTTGCCTCCCCTTTCACTCCTCTCCCAGCCCCCCGAGACTTTGATTTTTCCCCTTCGCCGCCTCTTTCCGGTTTTGGCTCGGGGCTGCCTTCAAGGATGCACAGCTCAATTCTGGTGTGCGTCGGGATGCTCTTCTGCCCAGCGGTGTGGAAGGGCAGGGAGGCATGGCAGCGTTTCACTTGATGCCCACGGCGCTGTGAAGTCGTTCGTGCCTCTGCAAGAATACTGACTATGCAGAAATTTATTGAAGCGGATTATTACGAACTGGACTGGTATTATGAAGAGTGCTCAGATGGTAACTATGGCCCCTGCAAAATAGTGTCGGGATGGGTGGGGATATTATCTCCCTGGGGAGGGAAGGTGTCCTGAAACCCCCCAGGAGAGGGAGCACTGGGAGCTGCACTGCCCGCAGCCACACCTGGCCCTGCAGGCTTGGAAGGCACAGGGAGAGGTGGCAGTGGGCTGGCCTCTTCCCCGGGGTAGAGCCCTTTGAAGTCTGTCGGGTTATTTGCTCAATAGAGGAGGTGGTGGTGTTAGCCGCCTGCTCGCCAGCGTCACTCTTCCTTTGGTTTGACTTCTCTCTGGGGGGAGGCGTGAGTGTGGTGCTGATGCTGGTGCGTTCGTGTGTGTGTGTGTGTGTGTGTGTGTGTGTGTGTGTGTGTGTGTAAAGCCAGATGTGTGCGCCGTCCGCTGTGCGGTCATCGTGGATGCAGAAGGTGGCTCTCTGGCTGTCAGCACAGGCCCTAGAGAACAGGCCCTAGAGAATCCGCCCTTTTCCTGAGCCCAGACTTGGCGCCACGGGGGAGGAAGGAGAATGTGCAGAACAGCTTCCCACCTCGCAGGCAATTCAAATGAATTCTGCTGGTGGGATCCCAGGAGGGTGGGGGCGGGGAGACCATACATTTCTGTTACTGGTTCCGTTTGTGCGGGAAGGGTGTGGCACATTCTAGGGGAGACTGGTGGCGCACATGTGGCTGGACAGGTCTCGGGAGGTTCAGGCACACGAGATATAGGGGTGAGAGGTGCGTGCGGCCTCAGGCTGCTGAGTGTCAAAATCATGTATCACAGTCTGTTTTCCTTAATTTCTCTCACGTTGCGAGTCTGCTCCTTGGTGATATGTTCTTAGCCCCCATGAGCCATTTTTAGCTACGATAACTGCTTTTTAATTGAATCGGGAGTTTTAGGTTGCTCTCGCCATGACTGCATTTGATTAACCTGCAGGCTGGAGCTGGCCTCATTAATAAACCCACGAACTTCTACATTATCTTTGGAGTTCTGCTTTGACCTAGGCTACAGGAGAAGGGCCCAGGAGGCTTTCTTGGTCTGGTGGTGGTGGTAATTAGATGTGCTGAGAAACTTCTTCAGGTGAGTCCCACTTCCCCTGGCAGTAGGTAAGATGGTGTCAGTTGGAGACCGTCAGTAGTGATGATGGCAGGGTCTTGAAAGAAAAATGTCACTGAACTGTTCTTGTCACCGAATTATTCTTGTCTTTTGTGTACATAATTTTTGAAGCCAGTTCACATCCTGTTACCTGGCTCCAAGAGGTAATTATAGGGAAGCTTCAAGTTTCCTTGGTGATGTGTGACTCACTGAACCCTTCATAACTCATAATTGGTACATAGCATTATATTAGTTTCAGGTGTGCAACCTAATGATTGGCTATTTGTAGCCTCCCTAAGTTTTTAAAGTAAGTCATTAAGTGCATCCTCTGCAGACCTGGGCTAGGGAGCATGGGCTGCAGCAACCTGCCTATTCCAGACTGAGGATGAGCAAGGTGTGGCCCTGGTTCGCAGGAGCCAGCCTAGGTCGGGGAAGAAGGCTCCCTATGTCCTGTCCTGTTAGCACACCAGCTCAGTTCATACCCAGAAGGAGAGCCAGTCATTTCAAGTGGCAGAAGGGCTCTAACCTGGTGACTCTCCAAGGGATTCTCTTACTCAGTAGTTTCTCCATTGAATCTTTTGGCCCCAGGGTACCCTGATGTCTCCGCCCACAGAAAAGGAAAAGGCAGGAAGTCATAACTCCTCTCCCCACGCAAAGGTAAATAAACAATAGCTCGCAATTACCATCAGAAGGCATGTTGAGCAGGGTTCTATTCTTTGCCCTCCACTCCCATTTGGAGGAAGGAGAGAAGGTCTTTGGGACAACTGGCATTTTCACAATTTTTATAGGTCGTTAGGTATCCCAAGACTTGAGGTGAAAGGAGCACAAGCCCAGAAAGAATCTGGTTTAGGAATTCCACAAAGGGAAAGAAAGAGGGGTCTCTAGCATATGCTAATGTGTCCTTAACTTGTTTACACATTTCCAGCTTGCTGGGGCTCTTTTCTAGCCTCAGGCTGAAAAGCAGTTTGCCTCTGTTAATATGCATCTTTAAGATTGCATATCAGTCTGTAAATAGCTATTTCTCCTGGTCCTGACCTTCCTGGTTTGGTTGGCCAAGTAGGAATAACCTAGTAAGGCTTTGTCTCTCTTACTTGAGTCTTTAATGAGGGAAACTCCTAGGGAACTTTCCAGACTAATAACAAAGAATGAGTCAATTATTTTGAAAAGATGCAATATCATTATTTATGTCAGGGTTACTGACTTGCACCTCAACTGGAGGGGTATCAGCACTGGAGTATAGACGGCTGGAAATGTAGATTTCAGGAGCATTACGGCTCCTCTTTGAAAGTTGGCATTAAGGAAGGGCTTCTGTTCTTTACTACCTTTGAGGTTTAGGAGAGCTTCATTCAGTCAGTTTTGAATAGCTGGTTTGCCCCTTTCCTTAAATTCAGTTAGTTGTAGAACCTTACACTCCATTCCCTACCCCCAGCCCAAACACAGGCAGTAAAGACTCCCAGAGCGTGAAACCAGAGACTTGGGGCAGGGACTTAGAAGAATAAGACTGGACCGGTTGGTTGCCCAGTACCTGAACATAATTTTTAGAGACTTGAAATAGCCGCCATCAACACAGCGAAGCAGTAGCCTTCATAGAATTTGCTCAATTGTCAGTAAATATACCCAGTGTTTACAATTTAAACTCCTGTGTCCAACAGGGTCATGGTCACCTACATCGGCATAGCTCTGCTCTAATTGCAAAATCTCTATACCTGGCACCTCTTGGAAACTAGCCACTTGGCAAAAAATCAGGTCCTTTTGGCTCATTGCAGACCACGATAGGTCCTGGGAAATGCTCTCGGGGCCTGTTTCCATCAGGTGTGCTGTCAGTGGAGACCCGCCCGGCACACGGGCTTCAGTCTTTTGTGGAAACCCAGCATTGTTTCTTGGTTTCTTGGCTACTTATGTGGCTCAGTGGTCACTTAAAAAAGAAATAAAGGTGTGCTTATGAAGAGTGGGCTCGAGTATACGTCCTCAAATTAAAGAAACGGCCCGCTCTGTAGTCCTGTCATTCTGGAATTCGGCGGTCAGCTGGCCCCGGCACTTCTAGGGGCCCCTGTGAGCTGGTGCTGGTCATGCGGATTCCCACACTGACCAGAGCCGTGGTGGAGGGCTCTAAGGTGCACAAGTGAAGTAAAAGCTTTTTAGTGGTGAGTCAGTGTTGCGTTGCATTTTCGCAGAATTAGTACTCATTATTAAGTTTTTTTTTAAAATCACTTTGAACAGGAGAATGGCATTTTGAGCCAAGCATTGGACCTTGGCCTGTTTCTTGCTGCAGCTTTTTGGTAACCACTCACCCTCATCTCCCCCTTGGACAGGCAGGTGGTCTGGAGCACGGGATCCCGTGAGGGAGGCCTGGCAGCTGCCCTGCCCGCCTGTGACCATGCCTATGCCTCTTTTTCATTCTCCTTTTCCTAATAAGTCTTTCTGTCAAAAAAAAAACGAAGGAAGGAAGGAAGGAAGGAAGGAAGGAAGGAAGGAAGGAAGGAAGGAAGGAAGGAAAAGAAAAGGAAAAAAGAAGTGTGGGGGACACCTGGGCTGGTTCCCTACAAGTTGTTCTTAGGGCTTCTTTCTCCATAATAAAATGCAGGCAGTTGCCAAGGGAGGTCATGTGCCCTGTGACTGTCATGCCAGTACTGACATCACCCCCCTGGGCCATCCCCAGGTAGGGGCAGCCACTTGTGAGTGAAAGTTGTTAGGGGTGTTTTAAGCATGAATGGAAAAGCTGTTACTGCTTTTCTGAGGTGATTTTCCGCACTTTTGCTTCCTTAAGTATCAAACAAGGTAACCAGCTCCTCACTTTTTCCTCTTGTGCTTATTGTGGGGTGCACCGAGGAGGTCGGGGTGGACTTCATCCCCCCACTGCCACCCCCCAGCCCAGCTCTGCTCTGAGTGGATAAGGTGGTTACAAAAAAGGAAATGAAAAGCATCTGGACGACCTGCCCTCCCCGTCTCCCCGCTTTGGGCCCAGTGGTGTCTGGTCCCCACCTCAGGACCAGCACCCACCCCGCCGCTTGACTCTTTCTGGACAGGGCGGGAGCAGGGCGGCCCCAGCTCCGGGCTCCCGTCCAGGTGGTGGTCTTGAGTCAGTCTCTCCAGGAATTCCTGTGCTTTCTTGCTGGTCTTTGGGGGTCATGTTTGGCTTTGGAGAAACTGCTCTGTCACAGAAGAGACACTTTGACCCATTTCTGCCTTTAATCTTGAAGAGAATGCAGGTGCATGTGTGGATGAGCTTTGAGAATTGCCTCATCTGCCCTTGGAGGGAGGGCGGGTGGGGAGGAGGAGAGATGTGGGGAATATTCTGAAGCGTGACTAACCCCAGAGAAAATGGGGTGACAGGAGCTTCCACATAAACTATGCACTCAGTGTTTATTTACTATTGAATGTATATAGGCTTGGACATCATTTGCCTAGACTTGAATTAAAAGATGAGTACAACCAACTACTTGGTTGTGAGTAAAATCACTTGAGAGTATTTTAAAATACATGAAATTGACTTTTCTTTTTTCATTTATATACGCTGTGGCCTGGCCTAGTATCCTACAGTCTGATCATCAGTCTGATGACTCCCTGGATGAATAATCCACAAGGTAGAGAATCTCCCTCCCTCACTTCCCCCCTGCCCAGGACTTCAGACTCACTGTCATTCAAAACGCAGTAACAAGTCCAACCTGATAACAGTTGAGATTAAGGAAAGATATTTCCCCCCCCCCCGCCATGTGTCATAAACATTGCATTCAAACCTTGTGCATATTTTTAAAATATGATTTTGAGCTCCTGGCAACAAAATTGCAACTAAACCTTATTTTTAACAGAGAATACATCTTGAACATCATAATAAAGAGCAATCATTTTCAGGTTCCAAAAAATTAAGCAGACAATGCACATGTCCCTAGGTTTTAATTTTTAAATGAAATCTTT